GAGACGTGAGATGGAATCGTTGTTGACTGCTTTTGAAGATGTGTTTGCAAACCCAAAGTCCTTGCCACCCACCAGGCAACTAGATCATGGTATCACATTAAAGGAGGGAAGCAATCCAGTTAATTTAAAAGCATATAGATATGGGGCCCTACAAAAAACTATAATTGAAGAGTTGGTACAAGAGATGTTAAATTCTGGTGTGATCAGACCAAGTCATAGCGAGTTTGCTTCGCCGGTGGTTCTGGTAAAAAAGAAGTATGGCAATTGGAGGTTTTGTGTGGATTATAGAAAGCTCAACCATCTCACAGTAAAGAATCAATTCCCTATACCTATCGTTGAAGAGCTTATTGATGAATTGCATGGAGCTTGCTATTTTTCGAAGCTAGACTTGCGGAGCGGCTACCATCAAATAAGGATGAGGGAAACAGATATTAAAAAAAACTGCTTTTCGGACTCATGAGGGGTTATATGAGTTTGTCGTTATGCCTTTTGGCCTCTCAAATGCCCCAGCAACATTTTAACATTTAATGAATTCAATCTTCAAACCATATTTAAGGAAGTTTGTCTTAGTTTTTTTTGACGACATCCTCGTTTACAGTCAAAGTTGGAAGGAACACTTACAACATTTGGGTATAGTGCTTGACATTCTGAGACAACAATCCTTATTCGCCAAATTTTCGAAATGCTCGTTTGGCAGCCGACAAGTGGACTATTTAGGCCACGTGATTAGTGCTGATGGAGTTAAAGCGGACCCAAAAAAAGATTGAAGATATGGTGACTTGGCCAAAACCAAAAAATATTAAAGAGTTGAGAGGATTTTTGGGTCTTACTGGATACTATAGGCGGTTCGTAAGGAATTACGGAAAGATAGCAAAACCTCTAACGAATTTGCTCAAAAAAGGGTGTTTTATTTGGGGTCAAGAGGCTGATGAAGCTTTTCATGAATTAAAGCAAGCTATGACTTCTACTCCAGTGTTGGCCTTACCTAACTTTGACAAACCATTTATCATCGAGACAGATGCTTCAAGTGTGGGTATAGGAGCGGTTTTAATTCAAAATAATCACCCAATGGCCTTTTTCAGCAAGTCCTTGGGCCCTAAACATTTAATGTTGGCCACATATGAAAGGGAATTACTAGCTATAGTAGCTGCCATCCAAAGGTGGAAGGGATATTTGTTAGGCAAGCCCTTTGTTATTAAGACAGATCACCAAGCGTTGAAGCATATACTTGAGCAAAAGGTGTGCAATCCTACCTTGCAGAAATGGTTAAGCAAACTCATGGGCCTACAGTATTCTGTGCAATACCAAAAGGGAAAGGAAAACGTGGTAGCAGATGCTTTTTCAAGAAGATCGACTCCTTTACCGCCAACCACTTGTATGGCCATATCAAGCATCTTCTCGGGATGGCAAGATAAAATTCGAGAAAGTGTCTATACAGATGGAAAACTACAAGGAATAATTGATGCACTCAAAGATGGTTCGACTATAGGGAGCAAGTACTCCATGGTTAATGGGTCACTCATGAAGCAAGGAAGGTTGGTTGTGGGGGATGATAAGATACTTAAACAAGACCTCATTACATTCTTTCATTCAAGCGCGTCTGGGGGTCATTCTGGAGTCCACGCAACAACACAAAGGCTTTCAAATGCAGTCTATTGGAAGGGAATGCAAGCTGATGTAAGATCTTTGTAAGGGAATGTCACGTTTACCAACAATGCAAATATGACACGTCGGCATATCCAGGGCTGCTTCAACCAATTGAGATACCCAATAGATTTTGGGAGGTCATTTCTCTAGACTTCATTGAAGGTTTGACCAAGTCTTTGGGCAACACTACAATACTTGTAGTTGTGGATAAACTAAGCAAATTCAGTTATTTTATGGCCTTGAAGCACCCATATACCGCCGCGATGGTAGCTCAAGTATTTATGGAACAAGTGTCAAAATTATATGGTATGCCGGCGAAGGTGATATCTGATAGAGATCCAATCTTCTTAAGTAACTTTTGGAAGGAATTATTTAAAGCACATCAGACGACCTTAGCCTACTCTACTGCATACCATCCAGAGTCTGATGGTCAAACGGAGGTTGTCAATAGATGCTTAGAGACATATTTGAGGTGTTTTACCTTAGATACTCCCTCATCGTGGGCCAAGTGGCTCCCTTTAGCTCAGTTTTGGTATAACACGTCTCATCACTCCAGCCTGGGTATGTCGCCGTATGAAGCTCTTTTTGGTGAGTCACCCCCCAACTACATTCATTACCACCCTAAGGACTCAGCTAATCAGTCTGTAGACGCCACACTGAAAGCTAGAGAGGCCACCATTCGGCTACTCAAGGAAAATTTGACAAAAGCTCAACAACGGATGAAATTCCATGCAGATAAACACCGAAGTAAGAGGGTCCTTGCTTTGGGGGATTGGGTTTATTTGAAATTACATCCCTATCGACAACAATCTGTAAACAAAAGGGTATTCCATAAATTGGCAGCAAAATATTATGGGCCATTTAGGGTGATAGAAAGGGTGGGAAAAGTCGCCTATAGATTGGAATTACCCTCTTCCTCAAAGATCCATAATGTATTTCATGTGTCCCTATTGAAGAAGAAACTGGGAGATCACACAAACTGGGAGATCACAACTTTGGTCAAATTGGATCAACGTTAACTCAGTCAATCAACTAACTATTAAACAATCCTAAGATTGAAATTATAAAACTAATATTTATTTTTAAAATAAAGGGTTTATTCCATAGAAGAACATACATTTTTTCATTTTTTTCCCTTTTAAATCTAAAACTTATATTTCTCAAAGTAAACCCAACTTTTATCTATTCATTGTTATTTCATTATTAAAGTCTGTTACCAATAGGTAAATTGATTTCATTCGATAAAAGCTCTATATTTTGCATTTTTTTCCATTTTAGACTTGGTTTTTTCAAAACAAACTCAACTTTAACATATTAATTATTATTTTATTAATGAAGTTGGTTATCAATATGTAACCTTATATCCCTAACGAATGTGTGTCCTAAGCATCAACAGATCACCTTTCATACCAAAATCATGGTTAAACTTGCACATGAAGGACCTTGGACCTCTTAATTATCTTCTTGATGTCACTCTTTCCAGTCATACAATATGTTATGGAAGTACTAGAATGTCATCTTGAAAACCTACTCTCACTCTCATCGATAAAAAGGAAAAGTTAAACACCAATGATGGGTAACCTTACTCTAACCACTTTGTACTGCAACCTTGTTGGAGTGCTTCAATACCTCACTTTCACCTAATCGGATGTCTCATATGTAGTTCACTATATATACTTCCACATCACATGTATGAACCTATTGAATCCCATATGGTAGATTTCAAGTGTTTACTACATCATGTTTAATGTCCTCTTGATTATGATCATACACTCTATAATACTCAATCCACACGTCTTAAAGCATAAACTGATGTTGACTGGCCAGGTTATCCCGACACACGTCGAGGTCAAATACCAAGGTGTTGCTAATGTGGTTTAGCATAAACTAACATTGACTCAGCCAACTGTCCCAACACATATCGAGGTCGAATATCAAGGTGTTGCTAATGTGGTTTTAGAAACATGTTGGATTCAGAACCTTCATCTTGAGCTTTCGTTGCCTATTACTACGGCTATGCTCGTTTATTATACTAATGTAAGTGTTGTTTATCCCTAGCATTTAGAATAAGTTATTATATTAGATGATTGATGCTTATAACACACGTGATTTAGAGGAGTGTAGGGTTATATTTTGGTAACCGACTCAATTAATGAAATAACAATGAATAGGTAAAAGTTAGGCTTATTAAAAAAATTAGATATAAAAAAAAGGAGTAAAATATGCCTTTTATAAAAACAACCATAAAAATAACTGAATAAGGTTATCGGATCAAATATAGAATAATGGTAACAAACCAAGTATTATAAACATGTTAAATTATAACATTTTGCATCATAAAATATTTTGGATCATGTAATTTAGATTCATAACATTTACAACCAAATTATTTTTTTGGCTCATAACAAGTTTTTAATCATAATATTTTTTTTCAGAAGCATTTAGGACGTATTCGGCAAAACTAGCTAGTAGCGGGTAGCTTTTGATTTTGGAGGGTTTTGTTGAAAACTATTCATTGTAGCTTTTGATTCTGGAGTGTTTTGAATAGGCTAAAAGTTAAACGCTCATGTCGCCGAACGAGACATTTTTTCTTTTTTTACTAGCTTTTTCTTAAAAGCTAGAAGCCAGAAGCTCCCAAAAGTTGTGTGCCGAACACACCCTTAATTTAAGTAAAAGGATACCATTAGGGATCATAACATTTTAAATTGTAGTATTATTGGATCATAACAAATTAAGAATCGTAATCATGAAAAATCCCACGAGAGCATTTTTGTTGCTACTTCTTCCTTGCTTCCAAAGTGTGTTCTTGTTGCTCTAATCAGATTTCATTTGATAAATCCCACAAGTTTTAGTTTCTTCTACATGTATGAAATTCTATCAATTTAAAAGATTTCAAATGGTGGTCATTAACCATCTTTAGATAACTCACTTAAGTCATGTGGAGGATGTGTTGAGTAACTCTTTGACCCATATTCAAATCTTTGAAGCTACATTTAGGGGGTGGCCGAGAGAAGGGTGCACGACCCGGTCCAAAAATAGGGCTGGCTAGGGACCTACTTCTCTATACCACAAGGACCATTTACGTAAATTAGTCTAACAACTTTTTTACTCTTCATTTACTTATATCTGATAAGAAAAATCCTAAAATTCAGAAAACACTAAATAATTATGAATAAACTACTTAAAATTATATGAAAACATGGACATACTGTATTGCAACATAATAATATGTCAACGGATGATTAAGTTTCATTTAATGATGCCATACTTGATTACTCAATTAAATTATGCAATCTTATAGGTTTAGTTGGTTTAGTTATAACATGATTGCATTATTATGATGCTCATGTTCCAAGTTCCTACACAAATCTGGCAAGAAAAAGCAAAACTAGCTAGCTCCAACGTACATACAAATAATTGATGCTCAATTGTTCATCTCAACAAAACTGGTGTAAATTCAATCAGTATGAGTAACTATATACTGTCCTGATATCATAAGATACTGCACAACACATTAGGCCTTTGTTTCAATAGATTTTGTTAACAAGGCAGAAATTAGGCCTTTGTTTCATTAGTTTCTTTGAGGGAATAATGCTACTGCACAAGACAAGACAAACAACTGGTAAGATACATACATATATATATATATATATATATATATATATTTTGCAGTACCTCACACTATAACGTATATCACTGTCGTCACCGGTATCTAATAAACCACCACTTTCGGATATCTCCTGTTGAAGGGAAAAGGATACACATCATTTTTTTAATTCAATTTCAAGAATATAATGGATAAAAACAGGAGCAGAACATGCAACCTGGTTCTAAAAAAAAGTTCAATGACCTTAAATAGCCAAAAAAAACATGAAAACTTGTTATTGTAGGTCATGATGACCACTTTGGCAAATATTAACAAGTTTAATGACCTTTGAACTCGTAAAAGGAGCCAAGTGATCAAATAACCAAAATTTCAAAGTTTAGTAGAAAAACAAAGCAGAAAATCACACTCACACTCACAAGATGTCGTAGTTGCCTGAACTTTCCTGCAAGAAGAGCTCTCATAAACTTTATAACCTCCACCTGTCCACAATATCACATATATGGCATGTGTTAGTAAAGGAAGATAGAGAAAAAGAGGTAAGGAAACAAGGGGAAATAAATGTTCTTACTTTATCAAGACCGTACAACCCACGTAAAATCATAACCTCCAAACTATTTCCACCACCTTTGGTGACAAGGTCCCTGCAAATGATGGAAAACCACACAATTAAATGTTATTGTTTGGAGAATTACAAAAACACATTACTCATGATTAGAAATACTCTCCTCAACATACAAATGTAAGAAATAATTTATAAGCATTAAGTTCCTACAACTTTTACCATTAAAGTTTTGCACCCAAAGAATAGGAAATATGACCAGTAAAATACCAAATGACTCTTTCTAATAAATAACACCCCCCCCCCCCCCCCCAAAAAAAAAAAAAAAAAAAAAAAAAAAAAGACAAAATTGCAAAAATGGTCCCTATCGTTTTATCTAAAAAGATTAGTAATGCAATGGTCCAAAATTGGGCATTTTGGTACTTCCACTTACTCTTTCATCCCCACACACATACTATTTTAATACCTTAATTAAAAACAAATAAAAATGGGCCACTCCACCCTCACCCCCTACTCCCCTCATCTCTCTCTTTCTCTAATTTCATCTTCCCCAAACCCATATGTGGATAGTTTTCTCCCATATTGATTTCCTCCATCGTCTAAGCTAACCATTGATCAAGAAAAAATGGGTCAGGGGGTTTTTCAATTACCTATTAACACATGGTATCAGAAAGTCCCTGAGACCTTTCTTTTTCCACCTATTTCGCTTCCTCTTTCCGCTAAATCTCTTTCTTCTTCTCTTTTCTTTTCCGGTGACTATGTCTTCATCCTCCGTAGATCATACCCTCCCAATGAATACACTCCTTCATATGATCACCATCAAGTTATCTCCTTAAAACCACCTTCCGTGGAAAAATCAATTGCTATCCCTACTTGCTTATCAGAACCTTCTTCCTCACATTAACGGTTCTGCAGTCGCTCGTTCTCCTGAGAAGTTCTAACTGATGGCAAGTCCAGCCCTAATACTCTTTATACTACTTGGAAAATAGATGATAAACGAGCCGTCATTATCCTTCGTGCCTCCCTCTCTGAGGAGGCAGTTGCTGAGATTGTTGGCCTTCCGTCTGCTCGCCTCATTTGGCTGGCACTTGAGACTGCCTACAGCAACTCTTCTGTTGAAAGGATCCAGAACTTGCGTGACCAACTTCGTCAATCAGTGAAAGTTGTGTCTACTGTTGCTGAATTTTCCCGTAAATTTAACGGTTTTTGTGATCAATTGGCGGCCATAGGACATCCCGTTGATGACTCGGACAAGTTACATTGGTTCCTGTGCAGGTTAGGGCCCTCGTTTGAAACTTTTTCAACTGTTGTGAGAACCAATCGGCCGGCACCTTACTTTCGTGACCTCTAGGCTCAAGCCAAGAGTCACGAGTTGTTCTTGAAATCACTGCATGGTTCCACCCATTCCGCTGTTGCTTTCTCTGCGGTTCGCCCCTCCACTACCCCCTTACATAAATCTCGCACCAGCTTCCGGCCTTCACGTGGAGGTTCCAATGGTGGTCGGGGACGTGGTAGGCGACCTCCCCACTGTCAACTATGTCGTACTGATGGTCACTATGCCAATGTTTGCCCTCAACTTTCAAGTTTTGCTGCTAAAACTACTACACCCGGTATCGATATTGCAAATTCTTTTCGTGCTCAATGCACTATTGCTCCTTCACACCCGGATTGGTATGTTGATTCCGGGGCTACTGACCATATGACATCATCCTCGGATACGGTCACTCCGGGTACTACACAATCGTCTCCTGCCAATATCACTTTTGAAAACAGTAATTCGCTTCTTGTTTCCCATATTGGTCATACTATGGTTCACAATCAATTTCGTTTGAATGATGTGTTGGTTGTCCCACGCCTTACCAAAAACTTACTTTCTGTTAGTAAATTGACCGCTGATAATCATTTGGATGTGTTATTTTCTCATCCCAATTTCTATATTCAGGAACGCTCCACGAGACAAGTCCTAGCCCAAGGCAGATGTGAAAGCGGGTTATATGTGCTCCATTCCTGTCCTCACACCCTTGTTGCTGCTTCATCCTTAAAGGCTTCATTTGAGTTATGGCATTTACGGTTGGGTCATGAAGCTTTTGATACTATTTTGCTGTTAAATAAAATGAGAAGGTTATCTGTCACTTCTTTACTACCTAAACCTCTTTTGTGTTCGCCTTGTCAAATGTCTAAGGCCCAACGATTATCTTTTGAGGTTAATGAAAAACGGGCTTTATACCCATTGATTTGGTTCATTGTGATTTATGGGGGCCATCCCTGGTTTTGTCTGTTGATGGCTATCGAAATTATGCTTTGTTTGTGGATGATTATTCTAGTTTTGGTTTGTTATATCCGTTAAAAGCGAAATCTGAATTCCATGTTATCTTCTCAAAATTCATGAAATTTGTACAAACACAATTCTCCAGAAAAATCAAAATTTTTCAAAGTGACGGGGGCACCGAGTTTGTCAATCATTATGTTCGTCACCTATTAACACATAAAACTTATTTAAGGGATTTATCAACTTCTATATCTAAGAGAAAAATTAATATTAGATCTGGAGGCTGATGAAGTTAAAGCAAAGAAGAACAAGGAAAATTTTTTTGGAGATTATAATATGACCTTATGATGTCTTCCAAACAGAATCGAAGCAGCTAACCCAAAAGGGTAACACAGGCTCATGTAACCCACAACTTAATCCAGCTTATGCAATTGGTGCACTTGGTTTCGTGGGATCTATTAATTGACTCCAGATTTAGAGGGTATTTGGATAAATTAGCTTATAGCTTATTAGCTTATTGCGGTGGGAAATTAGGAATAAGCAGTTTTTGCAAAAGTATTTGTGGTGGGTATAAGCAATAAGCAAAAAGCTAGAGGGATGATTATTTAGCTTATTTCTACCACAATAAGCTGATTTTTAGGGATTCTTATCTAAACACTTAAACTTAGCTTATTGTGGTGGGAATAAGCAATAATCACCCTCTTTTTTCCCTATCCAAACACCGTCTTAGTCTGACTCACAAAGTTATATCCATTTTCGATTTGGAAAAAAGAAAACGGAACCAACAAAATCCGATTTGATGATAAGTTAAGAGAAGTACATTTTCAGATCACAACGACATCAGAGACTAGCAGAATCCGGTGAGGGAAGGTCTTTGGTGGCCTTACCGATGCCTCTCATGTCAAAGGTGACTGTGAGTGTGTGTGTGTGCGTGTGTGTTAGATCTTAGAGGCAGAATTTAATTGCAAACACATTGAAAACCTGTAACTCAAACTTACACACCGAGATCCAACTTATATATATATATATATATATATATATATATATATATATATATATATATATATATATATATATATATATATATATATATATATATACATATATATATATATATATATGAGCTCCTAAAATTTGTACTTGATCCCATTTGATTTTTCAAGCATATCAACTGGAAGTTTCAGTTGTCTTCATCTGGCTAACGTTTATGTCCCTCGTGTGAAAAGGGAGAAAGATTGTTGATTTTATGCAGACATTAGAGAATAATGAAAAGGGGGTGTGGGTTGAACACAGAGAAAGAAAAATGAGGGTCAAGATTGAAGCGTGAGAGAGATATGAAGGGACCAAAATGCCCTTTCTCTTTTTGCTAGATAACATTAGGAACTAATGGCTGTTACCAAGAGGAACAAAAACAATAAAAAGGTCTAATTTCAAACCAAGGGTGCACCACAAAACTTTTTTGGACCAAAACCACATATTTTAACCACCATGGGACCATTTTTGCAATTTTGTGAAAAAAAAAATCACTGAAGGACATCAGGGATGTAATTTAATGAAAGTTCAAGGCCACTTACTCTAAAAAGGCGCCAGTGAGAGAGTAACAATTTGTAAAGTCGACATATTTTAGCTCGTTAAACCCGTGCAATGGAGATTACTAACACATATAAATAATCAACAGGGCAATTTCACATGTTAAAAGGTCAACATATTCATGTGTTCTTCAAATACCAGAGAGAGAAAGAGAGAGACAATGGATACCTTCACCAGCTTGAAAGCTTCAGAAGGAAACAGTTCGCATGCTTGCAGAACCAAAGTGGTTATCTTAGGGCAGTTGACCACAAATTCTTTGCACACCCAGGTTTCTACCAAATCAGGTCTGCCTGCATTGCGATTGCGTGTGAGATGAGATCTCAATGATCGAATTGATTCTACAGTCTTTTCAAATATTAAAAAAAAAAAAAGTCATCAACAAAGTTTAGAATGGACAAACCTCCGCTAAACGAAGATAAAACGCTCTAACAAGAAACAATATCTACTCACAGACTCTAATATACGACTGATATAAACATCCATCCTGTCATCAAGAAAACATTTTTATTAGTGTTTCATAAAAGATATAGACATTCTTCCCTGCCTAGATATCTAAAGCTCCAGTAATTTTTAGGTAAATGTGATTATGAGAAACAAGGCCAATGGACTTATTACAAGACTTAACACCCAGTCACCCACAGACAAAGATAAACAACGATCTCATTAACAAGGCAGACTGAAGGAAGAAGTTATCAAAAAAGCCAAGGGACTTACATGCCCACAAATGTTAGTTCAACAAGAGAATGGCAAACCGACAAAGATGCCAAAAGTGCCTCTGAAAGTGCTGTCTTATCCTTCATTGTAATTCTGTGAAGGTGCAAACTTCTCAAACGAGACCTTGCAATTACAACATACAGGGTCAGTAGATACTCTATTTACTTGTACAATAATAATTTATTCATTCCAAAACAATGAAAACATACCCAGGTACACCACCATTTGCACTCAAAGAACTCAAGCAAGAGCCTGTTAAAAAACGAACAGGTAGCTGCAACACAGAATAGGCTTTGGGTATCAAGCATAGAGAAAACCTAGAAATCAATAATATCACAAGATAAATAAACACCACAAAAATCACTTCAATAACAAAATTCAACACACGATGCAAATTAAAATTCGAAATACGTACCTTGATTGTGAGGTCCGGAGTGAGAGGCCAGACGGATGCATTATGAACGGAAGAGCGTTTACGAGCGGATCTCTTGCCAGCTTCGAGCAATACGGATGAGAGGTGAATAGCACGTTCGATAAAATCATCATCGTTTTGGTGGGAATCGGTAGACCTAGATTCGACAAAGTCATCGAAAGAGGCGTCTATTAAGGCGGAATCGGAAACAGCAAACAAGGACTCGAATAGAGCGTTGATGTTCAATTGATCGTAATTATCATCCCTAGTTGAATGTTTGGCCATGCAACTGGAAGTACGTGGGAACGGAAGTACAGTTGCTAGCGGGAAAAAAACTAGCTTTTAAACTGAATAAGTTTTAGGGATAACGACGATACCTGCGTTTAAGAGAATACTTTTGGTGTAGTTTCAAATTCAGGATCTTCCGCCGCGCGAATTTCCTGAGAAACGAAGTCATAGGAATTTCGGGGTAAGGGGCAGCAGGGTCATGGCCCAGAAAAAAATGGGCCTACGGCCATCAAGTTTACAACATTTTATCGATACTTTTGGGCCAAAATTTATAATCTAGTAAGAATTTTGTCCATGGCCAAAATTGAAGCAACAGCCAGAAGTAATCCATCGCTTGAAACACACAATTTAAGCTGTCCCATAGTCGCACTCCTAATATTGGTATTGCAAAGGAAATATTGACTTATTTGTTTTCTTTAAAAAAAACAAATATGTCTAATAAATTGTTTGACAACTAAAGAAACACTTCTAAAAAGTGATTTTCAAAACCTTTAAAAAAATCATATTTAGGAAATCAAAAAATATAACTTTTCAATTAGTTGTCGCTGATGTGGCATAGTGATGTGTTAGTCTTGAAAACGTGACATTGATATAGAATGATGACGCGACATTATTTGGTTACATTATATTTTAGGTGTCAAAATTGAAACCAAAAAGAATGAAATATAGCGACTTAATTGAAAAGAAACATAATATTATATTCAATTGATCGTAATTATCCCTATGTGAATGTTCAACCATGGATAGAACGGTGTAGGATCAGAAGTACACTTGCTAGCAGGAAAAAAACCTGACTTTTAAACTGAATTAGTTTTAGGGATAACAAACAATGCAGGGCAATGGGAGCAGTAGGGCCATGGTGCCCAGGAAGACAATGGGCTTAGAAGCATCAAGTGTACAACACTTTTTATGGGTATATTTGGGCCAAAGTCTAGTAATAATTTCGTCAGTGGCCCAAAACTAAAGCAGTGGTAAAGTCATCGTAAGCCTTAGTTTTTTTGAAAACCGCAAATATCCATGCAAAAGCCCCTTCTATTTTTTACAGCGGATACCCGGGTGACCTCCTTTTCAGTACAAACTTTTACATTTTTATGGCCACTGATTAGAGTTCAACTCGTCACCTCTACCCGTTAATGGCTATAAACCCTACACCTAGTATTGATGACACCCTTAATATTAATATTGAAAGGGTGTTTAGGATTGACTTCAAAATAATTTATTGAATTATTTGTTTTTTCTGTTTTTTTTTTCTTTTGAATATTCGAATAAATTGTTTGACAACTAAAGAAACATATTTGAAAAGTGATTTTCACAACTTTTAAAAAATTTAAGAAATCAAAAAATATAACTTTTTAACCATGTTGTTGATGTGAAATTGTGACATGTTAGTCTTGAAGACATGCCGTTAATATGAAATGATGATTTAGTTGAAAAAAAAAACCAAGCGAACAAAATCATATTGTTATTAAAACTTATATCTTTTTTGAAATTTTCCATTACATAAAGGTTTTTATGGGATCCTTACGACAAAAGATTATGCTATTTATATTCATCCACGCATGTCTCTAGACTATTTGTGAGTTTGTAGTTCACACTCTCAACCGTTCTTTTGCATTCTATGGGATACGCGACTTAAAAAACCCAATGATCATTTATTTCAATATAAGGGAAAATCTAATGTCATTAATACGAATATTAGATTTAATCTATTAGGTAGGATCTTTTTGGTTAGTGATTAGGGTTTAGGTCCTAGTCTTTTAGGGTTTAGATTATGATTCTTATGTAATCCTATTTATATGAGGTTCAACCTCATTATTTATCAATGAAACAATCTATTATCTTACATGGTATCAGAGCTCCAGACTAAAAACCTTATTTTTGACGACAACCCGTAACCGCCGCCTTCTACCTGCGACGATCTTCTTTAATAGTCGTCGGAGGTGTCGTCATTATGTTCCTTATTTTTTCGTTTATTCTTTTATCCACCTAAATAATAAAACAGTCGGATGGCACCAAAGCAAAGACCTTTCATCGGCTTATTCTACTGTCTCGTCTATTTCTGTCTCCTCACCTTCCACCTCCTCCTCAGTTGGCCACTTCTTCGAATCTTTTTTTCCAATTCAGCCCCTTCGAATATTGCGGCTGCCTCTCTTTGATGGTACCTTCTCTACCGAACAGCCTCTGATTTGTAGTTGTTTCTTTCTCTATCAACATTGCAGCCACCAAACTCGTCAGAATTGGCTCCGTCCACTGCAGCTCGAGCCCTATTTCTTTCTCGCTTCCTTTCTCCGGACCCTTCTGCCACCGGTTGCATTATCGTTATCGTCGTCGCTGCTCCTCTCTTCTTATAAAAAGGAACCGCTAGTGATTGTCACTTCTTCTCTCTCCTTCTCCAACAAGAAGTTGTCAGCCGTCATCATTAGAGCTCTGCCATCGTCGTTGTCGATGTCTTCATTTATGTTATGTTTTATGTTTTGTTTTTCCAGCTTAATCGCCCCCTCCTGATCAAACTACTGGGGGGTAGGGGGGTAGTGCTTAGGGTTTAAGCCCAACCCCTATAGGGATTAGATTAGGTCAATGATGTAACCCTATTTATATGAGGTTTAATCTCACTATTTATCAATGAAACAATCTATTATCTTACACTTTTTTTATCTTAATATACAATAACAAATTAGAGGAACTGATTTAGTAGGTCATGTGTTTCAACTTAAATGTGTATCATATTATGTTCCATAAACTGATAATTCCATGATTCCACCTAATTGTATGATAGCTTCGACATAGAGAGGATTTCAATGCATCAAAGGTTATTGTATTGTCGATTCTTGATTGTGATGTAAGGATGAATCTAAATGGATCATTAATATCTTAATTTTGCGGTCCATGATGCGACACCATTGTGTATAGTTGGTTGTGTAGCCGCTTCATTTCAAGAAATTAAAAATCAAGAGTTATTGTTTGGTAACGAGTCATGGCCATGCATTCAGGTTTTATGTAGTCGCGTGAAGTATTCATTTGGTGGAATTGATACAATAGTGTTGGTTACAATGTATAAAAGTAATGGCTTATCAAATGATATTGAGAAGTTCATAATAACAATTATAGTCTGGGGTGGTGGTTGTCAAGGCCAACAAATAAATAACCCTAAAAATTGCACACTAAAATAGCGTATAATGGTAAAGGGATCGAATCCATAATGATTGGTTCGATTTGTAACTCAATGTAAATCTCTTTGTAAAAATACTTATGAAATGACAATAAAAATAAATGTGGGGATTTTAGTATTTGTTATAAATCTATGAAACATGTAATTAATCAAAATCAAGTAACATTAAGATTTAAAAGCCACCAAATCCTATATGCGTCGAAATTCTTTCACTACTCTGTTAGAGAAACTACTTTCATGATTACGTGAAAGGAAAACAAACACAAGAACCATTTCTTTCTTGCTAATTTGAAGATCCATTACTTAATCAAGAAATTAGTCAACTAATCACTAAGCATACATCTAAACTCGTGAATAAATACATATGGATAGACAATATGCTAAAATGGATAATATTTTCGTTAATATTCAAACACAAGTTCTTGATGTTCTTCAAAATCAACCGAACATTCAAAGATTGCTTCTAATATCAACCAAGATTAACTTAGTCTAACATGGCTAAGTTTAAGCAAAATAAAAAGTAGTTAGAAATACCAAACATTAATCCCAAATGAAAAGAGTTGAATAATGAAGTTCTTCAACCTTTAAGTCTTCAAAAAATGTAAAGAGAATGTCCAATTTTCGGATATCCAAGGTGTGTAAAAGAGTCTCACCAACCTTCCCTAAATAGCTGCAAAAAGGTGAAATTTCAAATTTACCCTTTTGGAGGCTGTGCGGGTTGCATGCACCTAGGTGGGTAGAATGCTTGCCGACTTTGATTTTGGCTTATTTGCTTCTTGGGAATGCATTGCCTTAGCATACCAGACCATTTTGTCTCCATTCGGTTATAACCCATGATCCTTTAAGATTTCTTCAACTTTTGTCCTAGTTCACCTCATCTTAGTCGTCCAAAGCTCGAATACCCACTCTAGCAATCAAATATGTAAGCTTAAATATTTCTTTCATCTTCTTTTAAGTTCAAGACCCATATTTATTCAATCTTCCATTCATCAACAAACTCATTTTTATATTATCTCCATAAGAGTTACCAAAACCTGATTCCTTAATCCTTAAGTCCTGCGTTTCCCAAACATCTTTGCTCCGCATTAGTCTTTTATAAATATGCAATTATATCTCAAACACTAGAAAGTACCCGATATATATATATATATATATATATATATATATATATATATATATATATATATATATATATATATATATGAATAAAATATGAGTAATAAAATGAAGCTATCAGGTGGCGTATAAAACATGACGGCATTGTTGAAATAAAGGATTTGTCTTCCACGCCCGATTTGTAAAACCTAAAAACATGGATAAAAGAGTTGATCAAAACAAGTTGAGAAAATCTACTCTACGATCATATAGATACTTGCAGACAAGGTATCATCGAAGTTTTCGATGAGGATGATGTGTCAACCTTATGTAAAAAAGTTCATGGATTTTATGGGGAAAAAATAATTATTGTTTTTTTTTCCAAATAAGTGAAATAATGCACAAAAGTCACTAAGTTTACACAAAAATAGAACATTGCATGTGTGGCTTTCTTTATTAGATTTTGGATTTTTTAGAAGATCAAACTAGATAACCAAATGGAGAGCTCCACCAGAGAAATAGGTAATCGTATCACTGATAACGTCTATAACATCCCGGAAATTGGGTATATCTGTTTAACCCTTCCTCTTCTCCAAATTGTCAAGAGAAACCCCTAAATGGAAAATATTGCAAAGGATTACGCTGGGCGTACTGAAGAAGTACATTGCGCATACTCATTCGCTTATAATAAGCGCGGACTCCATGACGGACGCTGGGCGTAACCAGCCCATATGCAAAACCTTAATTCAGACTTGAGCCCTATATAAAGAAGGCTATGGCCTTATCCTCAACCACAATTTGAGTGAGTGAAACCCTAAAAGAGAGCCAACCTTCGTTCTAAGCTAGTGTGTTGGTGTTCTAAGCTTCAAAGTGTCATTTCAAGGTGGTGGAAGAGAAGAAGAGGC